CGTGAAGCCTTCGAGTTTGGGTAGTTAATGAACGGCAATGCGAAAATGGACGAGTACCCACACCGGGTTGAGATGGAGAATGTTAGACCTCTGTTTAATTACGTGATGTGAGTGTGCGGAACGCTTATTATGTCATGAGCGATGGCTCAGTAAGTGCATCGAAGGAAATAAATAACGTTCTTGGCTTTATAACGAGGGGCAATGGCACTCAAAAAGACCAAGCGCGGGCCAAAGGCTTCCTTCTCGTAGAGCTTGTAAAATGGGTTCATCCTGCAAGCAAAAACAGAACGACCTTGTTGCAAAATATACAAGAAAGCAGCTCGTAATGACGTCATTTTGAAGATATAGTTCGAAGGGGAAAACTGAAAGAATGGCTGGTAAGAAAGCCTACACACATAGGTCAACATAGCCCCAAGGCACTTTAGGTTCTAAAAAGGGAAGAGGGAGCTGCAGAATTCGAGGAAGGATTATTATTAGGTTTGGGGGCTAAGAATGTTGTAATTTTCGGCGCAGGGAAATCGTAGTTGCCAAAGAGCGAATCATGGTGAGGGCGGTGTCGGACAGCGCAACCCCGTGGATTCTCTAGCGAAACCCGGACTCGCAAAGTCTGACACCGGCCTAAGTAAAAATCAAGCAAACGATCTAGGGGGGGGGGGGCATGCAACAGCTCTGGGCTTATGCACCCAGAGCTGCTTCCTTGGGCTATGCATATTATGCGCTCAATTTTCGCCTCCTTTTCACAGAGGATTGCTATCATTGCTTCACCGCTTCCAGTTTTGTCTCTGGGTTTAAGCTATGAACACTATTTGTAGCGTTCAGCTCTGTAATCGATTCATCTTCTCAGAGAATTAGTAAATATACAAATGCCAAAAAAGCAAGTGCTGATAACAAAAAAGTGGATTGATTCAGGGCAACTTGATCCGTTACCGAATATGATTTCACTTCATTCATGGATCGGACTCAGCGTGGTGATTTCCTTCTGCATTCAGGTAGGTTCTTATTACAGAAAATGAATTTTGTTACGTACGTGGTGTTGAAAATAATAAACAAAATAAACAAGTAAACAGAATTATCTTTGAAAGGTCTTAATGTTAGGGAGTGTGTAAGGGTGTAGCAAGAGGTCACTGCGTAACGTCGCTCTCTTCACGGTTTTAAGCCTCAAACGGAGGACCGCCTCGCTGGCACTGCCGCGGCGTGGGCTTGTACGCTAAGACCGGTGTTAGACTCTGCGAATCCAGAATACGAGTGTTGCGCCAGCGAATCGATGGTACATCATTCGATTCGCTGGTACACAGTTCGGTCCGCCAGCACGTAACTCATCCGCTGGCACATAGTTCGATTTGCTAGTGCAACGCTCGTACCTCGCGATTCGTTCGCAAATCGTTGATTCGCAAAGTCTGACAGCTGCCTAACGTCGTCCAGCGGTTTCATAGTCAAGAAAGGCAAGGTGTCTGTCCCCATTTTACGCGCATTCGAGTCGCAAATGAATTCGACATCGCACAGCGACCTCATGCTACTCATGTCTTACGCATTTTGTCTTCTATGCATGATTGTGCCAAAGCCGGGTCACGATTGGTTCGGCCTGTAGAAATACGTCATCAATAAACTCTTTTTACTACCCTGGGTTTTACCGCATTCGAGCTCGCAAGAAGGCCTTCAACCTCGATTGCACCTTCTGCAGCTTCGTTTGCTACAAAGGAACCAATTTATAGCAAAGCTTGTTCAATAAATCATGAAGGTTCTGCAATATACTCGAAATCCTTGCAGTATCTCATCGGCTTCGTGACATTCTTCGCTCCTGGGCTCTCCATTCCGATGCGTCAGCTAGTAATGCCATTCCATCAACTCTTCGGCATGATGATCTTCGCAGCTGTAGCGATCACACTGTCGGTATGGGAATCTCGGAACGTGCTCGCATGGAATCCACACGTAAGTTTTATCCGCCATCCGTTTCCGACAGCCTTGGGAGCAGGGTCAACCGTCCGTTGGACAAAGTCCAACGCGACGACGAGAGTAATGCCGAGAGTGAACGTACGCACGGAGACACAGACGGCTCGCGGGTGGCGAGAGTGAATGCCGGCGCGGAGAGCGGTGAACATCGGTCCAACGTCGCTCCAATATCGGTCCAACGTAACGGTTGACCCTGGGGGGGGGTGGGG